AGCCAAATCCTTAAATAGCATAGAAACAAAGCCAACAGAAGCCAGAAGAAATGTGGCAGGGACAGTTGCAAGAATCTTATCAGCACAACAAAAGAAAAGAACTTTAAACTGGAAGATGTTTCAAAAACTCTATAATCATATTAAAGTAAAAATGAAAGGCACTAACTATTATACAACTATGCATGGATTCTGGCAATAATTTAAGATGTGTCAGTTGGTTGTAAATTACTCTGAAACCAGTAATAACTGAATAGGAGTTGATGCTAGCTTGCTTGAATTATTCCTTTAGGGTTAATTTTTTTCTATGTAAATGCACATTTTTCCACCAGATAATGATCAACTTTCATTAATCATTTCCCTAACCCCAATGATATTTTTAACTGCTTGAGTTCCGCTGCAGAATAGAAAATACTATTATACGAGGAATTGAATTTGATTTCTATATTATGATCAGTGCAGAAAAGTAAATTCTAAGCAGTAACGTTTACTAAAATATTTATTTATCTGGTATGCCACCCATTCCTAAAGGCTGTGAGCAGATAACCATCCAAAACATTGCTAAGCAAAACACTCCTCAAAAATAATAGCCGCCCAATAAAATAAAGGTAGTATCAAAATTATACAAAATAAAACAGTGTGACACATCTGTCACACTGTAAACATTCAATCCTATCACACCTTCCTCCTTTGCTTGATGTTTGTCTTAATTAGTGCTAGCTTCTGGTTTGAATAAATTTGCTTAAGATTAATTTACATACTCTTTTTAGGAAAAAAAAGAAACCTGGCTGGTCTGGGCAATTCTTTATTACAGTGTTAGGGTTAGCTTCCTCCTTCTGTTACGTATTCAAATTGGACAGTGATAATAATAATAATAATAATAATAATAATAATAAAGTTGGAAGGGACCTTGGAGGTCATCGAGTCCAACCCCCTGCTCAGGCAGGAAACCCTACAACATTTCGGACAAATGGCTGTCCAGTCTCTTCTTAAAAACTTCCAGTGTTGGAGCATTCACAGCTTCTGGAGGCAGGTCGTTTCATTGTAGGTCTATACATATGTTGTATATAGTATATTTAAGTGTGTGTTATGTATGTGTACACTTTGAGAACAAGCAACTAAATTTCATTTTTAATGTGTGCCATTGTGCTCACAGTAAAAAATGGCAATAAAAGTCTGTCTGTCTGTCTGTCTGTCTGTCTGTCTGTCTATCTATCTATCTATCTATCTATCTATCTATCTATCTATCTATCTATCTATCTATCTATCTATCTACCTACCTACCTACCTACCTACCTACCTACCTACCTACCTACCTACCTACTTCTTTAGCTACTCTGAGATCTGTGGTCTTCAACTTCCAGAATCCCTTCACCCAAATGGTGAGCATCAGAATTACGTAGTTTATGTTTCTGATTTTTTTTTATACTGTATGTCAGTGGTGGCGAACCTATGGCACGCGTGCCAGAAGTGGCACTTGGAGCCCTCTCCGTGGGCATGCGCGCCGTTGCCCCAGCCCCGCATCCCCCCGCAACCCCCTCCTCACCAGCAGCCTGCCCGGAGGAGAGGCTCCACCAGGCGTGGCCGACGCGGAGCAGCGCAGCCAAGCACATGGCAGCCAGGCAGCAGGGGCAAGACTCCGCCCTCACGCCCTATCACCTGCAGATGATGCTGCGGAGTGCGGGCGGAGGGCGTGGCCGCCATGGCGCTGCAAGGCTGCCTGGGAGATCTGTGGTGAGTGGCCCTGCGGGCAGGCGGAGCGGGGGGCGGGCCGGTTTTGGGGCACTCGGTCTCTAAAAGGTTCGCCATCACTGCTGTATGTTGTTATTTCTAAGTTGCTTAGTCTTCGGAAATGGAGCAAGCATGTATGCTGAGCTAATGAATAATTTTCATAGCTGTAATGAGTCGTTCACATTTTTGCCAGTCCGTCTACGTAGTTTGAAAATTGTGTGAAAAATGCGTGCAGGATTTGGGGAATATGCTAAGGGCGACCAAATCTTCAAAAAGCCACCGAATAATTTCTTTGAAGAGACAAGTTTTCACAGGTCTTTGAAAAAGAGAATAGAGGGGTGTTTCTCAATCTTGGCAACTCCCAGAATGTTGAATTCTTTAACGTTGTTTTGGAACTTTAGAAGGTGCATGCCGTCTTTTATATGTACACAAGGAGATAGCTGTTTTCAAAGAGGCAGCTTTCATGTTAATCCAGAAATGGAGAGGTTTCTAAATGATAGCGATTAACCAAACAGGGATTAGCCAACTCTGTCACCAAAGGATAAGACCCCATGAGGAGTTTCCCATTGGCTCTTTCAGGGCCACCCGTGTCCCACCTCCACTGGCAATCAGTCTCTCTGCAAGGCAATAGATGGGAGCAAGGGCCTTCCCAATCACCTACTTTGACCCATTGGTACTCAAGAACCAGAACCTAGCTATACTATAACCTAATGTTGATTAATTAACAGGTCAACCCAGAAAAATTGATTAAGGAATGCCTGTTACAGAGATACAAGCAACATCGTGGACTTTATAACTCGTGGACTTCATGCTGGCTCAAGAATTCTGGGAGTTGAAGTCCAAAAGTCATAAAAGAGCCAAGGTTGCCTACCCCTGATCTAGTGGTTTAAGATGGCTAAAATGTTCGTTAAGGGGTCTTCAAACTTGGCCCTTTTATGACTTGTGGATTTCAACTCAGCATGGCTGGCTGAGGAATTCTGGGAGTTGAAGTCCACAAGTCATAAAAGGGCCAAGTTTGAAGAGCCCTGGCTTAAGCTTTTATTTTTTGCCATGTCACAAAACTGGTGTTTTTACTACCAGGTGAAGCGTATAGACCGGTATTTCCATCTCTCTCTGTGTGTGTTTATAGTTCCATGCCGTATCCCACAACAGAAACATTGCACAGCATTCTAAAAATGTTCTTACAATATCACCTTTTGCATACAGTTGATTCTTCCTCAGGATTTGTTAGCTGAAAAGGGAAAGAGCTCCACAGTGTTTTAGAACGGGAACGTGGGAAACTGCTTTTACCCACTCAGACTGTTCATTAATCTATCTATGTCCTGACTCTATTAAGCAACAGCTTTTCGGGAGTTTAATATGGAACCTTTCTCAGCCCCTCAGGAGAGGCCAGGACTATATCTAGGAGCTTTTAGCCTGAGCCTTTCCTTCAGGCCGCAGTGTGCATTTTCTAGAGCAGGGCTTTTCAACCAGTGGTACAGGTACCACCTGTGCTACATTGGCACCTGGCAGGTGGTACGCAACCATCCTAGAAAAGTGGTAGTGGGGGAGGGGGATGAGCTGAACCGGTGGCAGTATTGCACAAGCCTGAGCGAGAGATGGCTGGAGCTGCAGGGCTGTCAGGGCTCAGCGGAAGCACCAGGATCAGCACCAGGCTCCAGCTGGAAAGCAGCACTGATCCTGGTGCTTCTGCTGAGCCCTGAAGAAGCGCCAATCAGCTGGAATGTTGCAGCATCTCCAGGGTCTTGTGATTTACATTCAGAGGCTTGGCAACTGATTCATATTTATGATGGTCACAGTGTCCCAGGGTCATGTGAAGTGACCAAAACCTGCCGCAACCAGCCAGCAGATAGGGGGAATAAAATCCAAACACACCCCACCCCACCCCCGCTGCCAATCCTCAACAGAAATGCTCACAACAATGAAAACCTCGGACAGGAGGAAGAGTGCGGCCGGGTGGGCACGGGGGGCACTTTTTTCAGTGCCATTGTAACTTCGAACAGTCACTAAGTGAACTGTTGTAAGTCAAGGACTACCTGTACTTTATCACTTTTTTCCTTTTTTTTGGTCATCAAGTTTTTGACACCTTGCTAGGCAACTGGTGGTACTCGGATGTTGCCATATCCTAAAAGTGGTACAATGAGTGAAAAGGTTGAAAAGCCATGCCTTAGAGGTTTTCTAGTCCAACCCCCTGCTCAGGCAGGAGATCCTTTACCATTTCAGACAAATGGATGTCCGGTCTCTTCTTCAAAGCCTCCAGTGATGGAGCAGCCACAGCTTCTGAAGACAAGTCGTTCCACTGATTAATTGTTCTCACTGTGAGGCAACTTCTCCTTAGTTCCAGGTTGGAGCTCTCTTTAACAATCTTCCACCTGTTAATTCTCGTTCTGCCCTCAGGTTCTTTGGAGAATAGGCCGACCGCCCTGTGTGTGACCGCTCCTCAAATACAGGTAGTCCTTGACTTACGACCATAACTGAGCCCAAAATTTCTATTGTTAAGTGAGACAGTTGTTAAGTGAGCTTTGCCCCATTTTTATGACCTTTCTCGTCACTGCTGTTAAGTGAATCACTGCAATTGATTTAAGTTGGGTGTTGGGTGAATCTGGCTTCCCCCCTTGACTTCGCTTGTCAGAAGCTGGCAAAAGGGGATCACATGACCCCAGGACACTGCAACCGTCACAAATAGAAACAACCAGTTGCCAAGCATCTGAATTTTGATCACATGATCTGGGGATGCTGCCAACCCATCTTAACAAGTTACCAAGGCTGGGAAACACTGCCCGAAAGCGGAATTGCCCGTTTCGCTCCGCATTCCCAATTCCAGGCAAAAAACCAACAACGACCCTTCATTTTAGCACGGGAACCAATATCAGAGACACCCCGTCTCCCATTTTCTCCCCCCCTCCCCTCCCCTCCCCTCCCCGGTCCGGGCGAAAAGCAGCCCCTCTGCCGCAAAGAAGGCAGGGAACGCGCCGCTCGGGAAACCCGGGCGGGGCGTCACTCCTCCTTTTCCCAGGCTGCTTTGCGCCGGAGCGACGTCTGCGTGGTGCCTTTCAAATAAAGGGGCGGAGCCTCTGCTCGTAGCGCAAAGGGGGCGGGGCGGGAGAGAAAAGCGAGCCCCTCCTTTCCTTTCCCCGCCGGTCTCGCGCCTTTCATTTGCCGGCTGCGCAGCTCGCGTGACGCCGCAATTGCCGCCGCCGCCGCCGCTTTTTTCCTCAGAAGCCTCACGCGCTCGCTCTCTTCTCTCTTTTTCCCCCCTCGTCGTCTCGTCGTCGTCGTCTTCTCCTCCATGGCCAACTACATCCATGTCCCGCCGGGCTCGCCTGAGGTACCCAAGCTGGACATCTTCGTCAGCGAGAGGGACCCTTCAGGCGGCGGCAAGCCGGGCTACCGCCGCGGGGCCCTGGAGCTGCTCCGCCGGCTTAGGCCCGACTGGAAGCCCGAGGAGGTGACGCTGAAGGTAAAGCCCGGGGCGGCGGCCCGCCGGCGGCGAAGGGGGCGCGGCGGTGGCCTGCGAGGGGCTGGGGAGGGAGGGAGGGAGGGAGGGGCGGGCGGGCCCGGGCTGAACCAAGCCGAGTCTTCCCCCCCCCCCGTCCCCCTCGGTCGCCTTTCTCGGCGCTCCGAGGCTGAGCAGCCAGCCAGGCCCCGCCGCTCCCCAGTCGGACGCCCCTCGCAGACGGCCGTGCCCGTCTCCCGCCCCGGTGGGGTGCGGTGGGAGTCGGGGGTCTGGCGCCTCTGGCAGGCGGCGGGGAGGAAGGCAGAACGCCTGGGGAAGATGGAGGGAAGGAGGCGCCCCTTCCCCGAGAAGCCCCCTCGCTGCCCCGGGCTCGGCTCGGCTGCCGGGGAAAAAGACGCGGAGGCACCGCCGCGTCGCCTTTCTGGCTCGCCTGCGACGCGTGTCAAGGGAGCGTGTCTGGAGGTGGGTGGGGAACCGGAGCGGCTTGGCTCGCCTGCCTTGCCGTTTCTCAGCTGCTTTCCTGCAAAGGGAGGGAAAGAAAAAGGGATTTTTTTTTTCCTTCCTCCCCCCCCCACCCCCAAACGCCCAAACTGGGATGGTTGGAAGTTGGGCACGGCTTTTCCACCCATGTCGAAAGAAATGATGTACCCTGGCTTAGTGGCTTGGGACACGGATACACACACACACGGACACACACGGACACACACACGCATTCACACGAGCTAAGTTTAGGCGGAATGAATGTGGGGTTCTCCTCCCCCCCCCCCCAAGCATCCAGTTCTGTAGTGGTGAGAAGGCAGCTTAGCCATCCCCGGCTTCTGGGGAGTGTCATGACAGCAGCCTATATTATCTCTTTCCAGGGCAAGTGACTAAAAGTGTGGTGTGTGAAAAGCACAAGTCTTTATTTTTTTGCACCCATTGTCCTGGTTAGCCTTCTGTTTCATTCCAAGCATTTGGTCCTGATTGAGTTTGAACGCTTTTCTACAGGTATCGAAGCTGAGTGTCTGCCTGAGCTTGCATCACAGCTCTGTTAATCTTTAAGATGCTTCTAGATTCATGCTGTTAATCTTTAAGCGTTAAAGCTATTGTTCTGCCGTTGTCATACACGTGCACATCTGGGCGAACTCGGTGTGAAGGAGGAAGAAATGGAGGATTTCCTGATTGTACCCTTTAAATATGTTTTGGTGCTCTCTGGGCTTGGCGATTTGATGATGTTACATAGTTGGGTAATGAAACACCTGCAAGCAGACAAGCTCAAAGAGCACCAATATGTCCACAAAACAAATCCTTCCATATATGTTAAAGTTGTAATGGTATAAAAATTGAATGTCTATTAGAAGGCTTACTGCAGCTGTTAATTATTTTACTTTAAAATAAAATGTTAGCCTTTCCAGAGATAACTGTATTCACCCAGGAGGAAAGCACCTGGGCAAGCTTAGGCCATTACCTTTGTTTCAATAAAATTTCTTCTCTTGCAGATGTGCCTGACTAAAGATGAATTCCTAGCCTTTCATAGCTGGAAAATAACAGACTGTAAATGTAGTCTTATATTCCCTTCTTCAGTTTCTTTTCAAAGAACCTCACATATCCAATTTCTTTTGTACTACATATATAAAATACTTTTTAAAAATGTTCTCAGTAAAATTCCATATTGGCATTAAAGTAATAATGAAACTTTAAATGGAATATAATCCATTTTAAATAGCAATTATATTTGAAAGTTAAAAATAAAATTCTGAAAGAATACGATTAATCAGTTTATACTAAATATTTTCAGGGCCGTGAAAAGGTTTATTACAAATGTAGTTCATAGACAACAAAATTATGCAAAAACATGTATTTTTAAAGTACTATGATGAGCTTTATGGTAACTTTTTAATCACTTGTTTAACTACATTGTTTCAAAGTAATTTTCTTTTATGGAATTTTTAATATCAAAATTTGCAGAACCTTTTTGAGAATACAAAATATTTTTAATACAATAGTAGACTTTAAGTGGTCAATTAACTATCAAATATACTGAAGTTTTTA